GGCACTCTTACACTTCACTCACAACAAATGGCAGTTTTATATCAATCATCTTTCTGACATATTATGGGATGGTTGTACCTCCCAGCCATCCTGTGCACAGTGTCTGTGGGGTGTGCAGAGCGGAGAGACGGGGCTGGTGTGCCGGAGCTTATTTTCTGTTGAAAGTGACAGACACAGCACTTGTTCTACTTAGTTGATATCAATGGCAGAAGGTAGTCTGTATCTGCTTAAAGACTATGAGGTGGATTTTTTAACTTGTATGTGCAATATGTATTTACTCATTTTTTGTCTAAGAGCAATTGATGGTTGTTCCATTTCGTTTAGTTCTGTTAGTTTTGTCTTTTTATCCCCAACGTCCTTTGTCATTTCTTCCTCTGTGTTTCAGTGAAGTGCAAGTATCCACATGGATTTGAAGGGACTGGACCTTCCCCACTTCAAAAGAATGTCAAAGAAAATAATTGCATGTAACAATGGATTTCGAGGCTATTTTGTAGCTATTGTGTATCCCCACACTATATCAGTGTTACAGCTGACAGTTGTTAAAAATGAATGGTAGAATAGTTTTGACTTCTTCAGTTACAGCTATCAGAAGTCACTTATGTATTTGTGTCTCTAAAATCTGGATCTTTTCCTGATCCACATACAGTAGTGTTCAACAGTAGTCACAGCTGGGTGTAATCCCAGCTGTGAGAGGAAAGGTAGAGCAGGTGTGATGAAAGATGTTCTCGACTGTCATCTGGTAAACAGAGTGATAATGGACAGACAGCTATTAAGTATAATCATTTGAACTCTTCATATTTATGATCTGTCTCTGTGAATCACACATTACTGTTTTCAAGTGAAATCCAGTAGACCAGGATTCTTAAATACTTCTTTCCTCACGTTTGCAAGGTACTACTTTCTAATAGGGGTAATATTTTTAACTAATGTATTTGATTCATAAAGTTAATTAAATTCATTAATGGTTAAGAAGCAATTTACTAGTGATTTATGCATCAGTAATAAGCCATTCATAAGAACAACTTTAGGGTTGCCATATTGAAAAAATCCCCTAGGCTGGTTTTTATCCTCCAGCAAATGTCACATGAGCAGACCAGCTGATTGGTGGCGGTGACTAATAGCATAGCAGTGAGCAGGCAAAGGCAGTGAAGAAGAAGACTGGAAAGTAGCTAACATCGATGTAAACATTGTACAGTGTAAAATCAGCCCCATAAATATTTCAAGAGGAAGTAAATCAGCACTCAACATACTTTGATCTCAACACAATGCATTTTGCTGAGAAACAGCTAGCTAAAGACAAAGCAGGTGTCCAGCCCAAATTTTGTTCTTATAAACTACGGATGTATAAAGCATCAGTAAAGTATGCATTAGCCAATAATGAAGCCATTAATTACAACCTATAAAGCCTCTATAAAGGGTGCCTTATTAGACAGTGGTACCGTTTTCAAAAGGTGTTTCTCATGATGCAACATGTATAATGCAGGTTTTATGTAATGTGGGCTGCTGTAAAATCTAATCTGTCAAATGTACTGCATTTACAGCACAAAATCCAGTGTAGTTTAAGTTCTACGAAAAAGGTGCCAATATTGAATTTAAAATTAGCATATATACCAAATAAATTGGGGACCAAATTGTATCGACCCACCACAACCCCACAGTTGACCAATCATAACTTCTGTCTTCAGATCAAAGTCTGTCTTCAGATCAAAGTCTGATTAGTAACTAGTTGTTGTGGAATAACGGTGCAGAAGAAACCTGGCTTTATTAAAGACTGGTGCTTCTCCCAATGATGTGTTCAGTTGCAACCCTCGACTGATCTATTGTGAAACCTGTCCAGATTCTGTGTGAGGTGCTTTGTTGCATGCCATTGATGCCTACCGTTTAATTTTTCTTTCCTTTTTCTAAAGTGGTGTTCTACTGAGCAGCAGGCTTGACTAGTCCCTGAACTTTCAGTATAGCTTTGATTTCTCCGACTGATGCTTGTTTACATTTAGATGATTTCTGGCCTATTAGTGTGTCTTTTCATTTAAAGTTGTGTCATTCTACTCCGGCATGCATTTCACCTCTATTTCGACTGTACAGTATGAAGACATGGGTGTAAATAGCAAATCTATCTGGGGAAGTCTAATGTAACTTGATGATGGTTTGAAAGGGAGGAAACATTTTGAGGCTGGGTGGGTAGTAAAGAATGAGAAAACATATGTAAATAATCTGTAAATTATTATTATTGTTATTACTACTACTCAATGTCTGCAGTTACATTGAATTTCCTGCTCCCCTCTGATATTTACATAATCATCAACTGCTTCTCTCTGCCACCGACAGGACTGAATTATCATAGAACCTAGAGATGAACGGCCAACTGTTACACAGTTAACTCCGCTTCTGACTTATTTCCTGAGATGCTCATGTTCTCTCACCCACTTTTGAAGTCACAGGGAAGGGAGGAGTGCCCTTATTTTATTATGCATTCTGTTTCTAAGTAGACAAAACCCTATTGATGTAAAACTAGTACTGTGACGATGTTGAGAACGCAAAATAAAGCGATATACTGTAAAACCTGAGCTGCTTCTGAGTGTCCCTACTTTTTCAAAGAATGCAATTTCTTGGTCTCAGCTGAAGGACCGGGTAGGTCTAGGAACCACACTTTCTACTGGCCTTTCTAACTAAATGTGGTGCTGGAGTTCTGAGAACACACTGGGCTTTTCTACCTAGAAGTGGCTCTACAATCCTAGAACTACACATACTTTTCTACCTTCAAAATGCAAATAGTCCTAGAGTCCTGGAATCACTCTCGTTTCCAGTGTTTCCTTCTGAATCTGCACACTTATATAGACTTTTTTACTTATAAGTGTACTGATGCTGTTCGATCTGAGTGGGACTTCACAATGCCTTACATGGCCATCGCTTGCAGTTTGGGGCTCAGTGTCTCTCAAGGATGAGCTGGGGATAAACCACCAACCCTTGGATTATTGCCTCTACCCCCTGAGCCACAGCCACACGGTATACAGTAGAACTAGACTAGAACTTAGGTGCATTACAGGTAGAATTGGTGTTCCCAATTCATAACTATTTTGCATTTAGTGCAGTCTAAAGTAGTTTCTGCCTTCTTCTTGGTAAACTTTATGGTTATAATATATAGTATTTAGAGTTAGGATAATCCCCCAATGAATCAATGTAAGTCAATGTGATTACCCCCAAAGCAGTTAGCCAGCAGGATTTTAGAAATACTGTGGTCATGAGCCCAAGTTCCCCTGGCACATCCCGACCCAACCCCCCCAATGCCTGTTTGACTACCCACCAAAAACAGAAGTCTGTAAAACTTTCTATATTATTTTTTCCTCATTTATTTATTCACACAACTGATCTGTAATAGTTTCTGTAAATTTTCAAAATGCTATTTCAAAGAACTTACCTCACTGCCAGGAGTAATTATGGTGGAAGCACTGAATCTATGTATGTATATATTTTTCATTTCTTGATTTCTTTATTGCCAAACAGTCAAACTAAACAATATTGCATCTAAAATTGCTGCGGTCACCCCTCAAAAGCTAAGATGTGTAATTTGTGTGTAACTGCAGAAACTCCTCAGGGCTCAGTAAAGGCCAAGCTTACCCTTTCCATAGTGCAATCAGTAATATCTTTTGTTAGACTCTCCCTGCCTGGTAAATTCACACATGTTGAGGGGACCCTGATGACATCATGTGTCATGTTTCATGTTTCACTGGGGGAGTAGTAGGCTAGGCTACTCCCCATGGCCATGACAAGTACATTGTGTAAAATTGAGTTTCCCTTTACAATCCCCACATTGCAAGCAACAATAGTGCGCAACAAAACATACCAACATGTTCCTGTTGCGCTCTCTCGCCTCACTCATCAGCAGTACAGGGACCTTCTTCTGCAGTGAGGCGTTTGTGGAAACCTAAACAAACTTGTCAGGAAGTTGTCCCTGCTGATGAAAGTCAAAATAACACGACACTCATTCTTTTCTGAGTCTTGCTCCACCCACATGCCTGGCTGCCTGACTTTGGCAGGTGGTCTGAGTGACAGTCTGCCCTATTTGTTTGTCCGGCCCTTGAGGTTGGAGCTAAAAATAGATCCCACATCCTGAGTGTCAACAGGACAATCATCATGCGGCTGGGAGGGGCCAAGCGCAGGGCTCATTTCCTCTGCTTGCTTTATAGATCTGTACCTTCAGTGAGTCACGACCAGCTGTTTGTCTTGTTTCTTATTTCTGTTTGTAAACAGCCTGCTTTATTTTATTTATTTATGTATATTTATCTTTTTTTTTTATTTTTTTACATATTTCTGATGCCTTTGTTTGTGGCTGAAATCAGTCTACATTTCATTGTCCTTCATTTTGATATAGTTTTATTCCTTTATTTTGCCTCACTGCAGTAGTTTCTTTGTGCATTGCGCCACCAAGCGGTGTGCTGGCACTGTGTTTATGTTTTTATGTTGTGTTCAAGTGCTGTCGGAAGAATCACAATAGCAACATGGAGCAATAAAATATGAAATATTCCAATACAACGTTTTCTGCAGTTAGTCAAAATCTTTTGTGAAGGATTTGGACTTTTGGCCACTGCCTGCATTTAGAAGATGGAAAATACGAAAATCCTGTTGATACTAACTGGTGAAAGTGTTTTAGGTTTTGTTTTTTATGTGTGGAATTTTGATGAAAAAATTATCTTTTTAAAAAATACAAAAATGTAATTTAATATAATTAAATGCAGGAGGAAAATTCCAAAACTTAACCATAAGCCTATAGTGGATTTTGTGCGGAGAATGGTTGGTCAATTAAATTCCATTGTCTGTAAAGTTCAGTTAATAAATCATCCAGAATATTTCAACATTTTTTGCAGGGGTTTTTGTCAGTATTTTTACACCGTGCATCAAACCCTTTCTCTGGTTTGAGCCAGTCTATTCATGTTTGTTGAAGTGAAAGATCTTGTTTACGACGGTCTTTAAAGATAAATCATCTGTACGTCATCAGCATGAGACAGAAACGGGTGAAAGGTATCCTGGTGGTTGCGGACTACGCGAAGTGGAGGTCTCTGCAGAAGAATGATGAATGTAAACAGATTTGTCGTTTTATCGAAAGCTGCTCAGGTCGGAAAGCGGCTGCTCGCCTGTAACGCGACGCATGCTGGGAAAGAAGTGCCAAACCGTCAGCAGCGGAGGGACTTCAGAACTCACACGAGAAACCTCGCGTACGCCAAGGATCTGTTCCTCGGTCAGGTGAACAAGGTAACGAAGAGATGAGTCAGAGTTACTGCGATGCTTTCTTACTGGTCGGTCAGACTGTCGGTCAGACTGTCGGTGTGTTGGATCGGAAACCGAGCTTAGCGTTAACAGACTCCGACACGAAGCCTCAAACGCAGCACGTCCTGGAGATGCTGTGCGTTCAGGTCACCCGGTGTGTGACCCGGCGGTGTGTGACCTGAACGCCTGTTGAACTCGGCCTTGTATAAAGAAGTTTCTGAGGTGAAAGCAGTATCGCTAAGTGTTCCTTCTCTCGAGCATTGTCCCAGTGAAACTTTCATTCACATCATATTCATAATTCAAGCTTTTATCAGTTCATAGTTGTGGGAACTATATGTGTACTGCTTTTTTGATGGAGTAACTTTCTTAAGTGTCTCCATGTATCTGTACTCATGCCTGCCTTTGTGCTGCTGTAACACCCCCAGTCTGTGGGGTCAATAAAGGGCTGTCTTATAAAACCAGTTTAGAAAGCTGCAGCTGTTATTTCAGTGTGTCAGATACATAGACATAATTTAGGTAAATTAGCCTCTGATTGGATTCGGCACAGCCAGATACTCTTAATTAAAGCATCCCTAAGCACATGCAGTGAAGTCAGGAAACCGGGGATTTGGGGGAGGCACTGGTGAACGTCTGTCTGCGAAATTCAGGGAAAGAAGATCAAGATGCTCTTTTTCTCTTGTTTTGTATTTCTTCTGAGTGATTAAACTGTAGTGAAGGTGCAGTTTTCAGAAGCAGAGCGCTTTTTGCTGTAAGGAGCTGGCAGTTTCTGTTCTAACGTGGTCTGTTCCTCCTGCAGGCTGAGGTCTTCCCTTACCCAGAAATTGGAAATGAAGAACTGGAGGAGATCAACCAGCTTGTTGCACCGGTGGAAAAGTTCTTCAACGAGGAAGGTGAGAGAGGAGACATGCTCGAATCACGATCTTGCATCTTGAGTCATTTGATAAACTGACCGTGAAAGACTGTTGGCTGTGATTTCAGTTGACTCAGCAAAGATTGACCGAGAAGCCAAAATCCCTCCAGAGACTCTGAATGGGTTGAAGGAGCTCGGGCTGTTTGGAATCATGGTTCCTGAGGAGTACGGTAAGATCAGTGTGACCTGGACCTGCTTCCACCAGCTGTTTGTACATTCAAAGTTATAACAATTTACACCGGTCTCCCTGGCTAAATAAATGTTAGATAAATAAAATAAAACATGACTGAATGAAAACAAGTTTGTACATAGAGATGACCTGTGTAGGTAGATTTTACTGTCTTTGGACAGAGCCACGCTGGGCAAAGCTCAGTGGCTGCTGACTGCAGCGTCACATTTAGCATACAGAGAGGGGTATCGATCTTCTCATCTAGCTCTCGGCAAGAAAGCAGATAAGCAGCTCTCCCAAAATGCCGAACCATTCCTGAAGTTATCAGCAACAACCAACGCATACAGAATAAAAGCCATTAAACTAAGTCACTGTGATCTCTAACAAATGTCAAGTCACTGTGAACTGATTTTCATAGTGTGCAACTGCTTCTAACAGTTACTTTGGTTAAGGTTACCTTAAATGATCTTGGATTGAGGAGAACTGCTGCCTCAAAACCAGACATCACATGAAAAATTCATTAAATTCCAACACATACATGTGCGAACCTTAGCCTGAGATACAACAGCCAAGCAAGTCAGTCACAAGCCAGGCGCTCTGTTGAAGAAGCCTTCCACCTCAAAACCTACACACGTGCTTAGTGCCTCAGTTACAAACACAGCCTCCAGTTACGTGAGGGCCCCCTCTGTCCTGTCAAATTTTGACTTGATGGTAGCGCTAGATGAAAAGTTAAGGGACAAGCTGATAACAGTCTATCCTGAGGGGATCACCAAAGCCTTCAGGATTCATCCTCTAAGAGCTGTGGATGTCTGTAATACTTGAACAATATTTGGATAGATTGACGTTTTATACAGTTTGAACCAAAGTGATGGACAGGCCCTGCTACAATGAGGAAGTGTTGCATTGACTATTTCAGCCACATGCAGGGAATAAACGTGGGATATTTAAATGAGGAAGTTCAGCTGTTGGGTGTTTACCAGATAGCCTTTTATTGTTTGTATTTTAATTGCAGGGTCCTCGTGTGTGGACTGTGCAGTTCATATATCACAGTTTTAATTCATGCAACATGAGTTACACATGGATCATAAGGCCATTTCCCTCTACATCACAGAAACACAATCCTTTTGTTTAAAATGGCACTGTGCCTAACTTAGAAGCCAGTCATAGCCCTACCGTGTCTTACCAGCACAAGTTGAAGGCAGTGTCTTTTTTTTTTTTTCACCCCAGGGGGTCTCGGATTGTCCAACACCATGTATGCACGACTGGCAGAGATCATCTCATTAGATGGCTCTATTGCTGTAACACTCGCTGCACATCAAGCCATTGGATTGAAGGTAAAAACGGGTTTAGGTTCTGTGCTCGTTTGGATCATCGTCTGCGTGTTTGTCATGTGGGGAAACTCGAGAGAAAGTTTCCGTCTGTGGTAACACAGCTGGTATTGTAGCGATGAGTGAGGTTCTCGAGGGGTTCCTCTGTGTGGTGTGCTAACAGCTGTTTGGTGTTTCAGGGGATTCTGATTGCAGGAAATGAAGCTCAGAAGCAGAAGTACCTGCCTAAACTGGCCTCAGGCGAACACATCGCAGCCTTCTGTCTGACGGAACCTGGAAGGTAAAGGCCTTCCACCTCATTCACATCTCGGTCACTGTCGCTCTGCAGCGGCAGTTCTGTTCATATCATTTGGTCAGTCCTGTATGTTGTGCTATTCTGGTAGCCTGTATAGCGTTAACATAACAAAACAAAGCACTCTGTGTGTGCTCCTTGAGGTCTCAAATATCTGCTCATTTTACAAACATTTTAAACTGAAAAAACATGTCTTGGTCTGCCACAGCTACATGTCTGCTCTGTAAATCACTCTATGGCAAGTTTAGGGGTGCAGATTATGCGATCCATGAAATCTCTCAAATGTACACCTCCTCATGAATGCGTGGCGTTCTTCAGGATAAAACGAGCGACTTAAGACAAATTCTGCAGTGAATCCGACTTCGGACACTCGTATGTGCAAGCCTCACAGGAAGTAACTAAGAGAGGTTTAGGAGAAGAATACTGCATAAAGCTGCGCAGGAACGGCCAGAGCGGAAGCACAGCCGGCCCTGGTTCTCCCACGTCCTCGCTCCATGGCTGCGGGGGCTCCCCAGCACAGATCTCTGCTGTTGTCCCTTGGGGCGGGGCGTGGCTGTCCCAGGGGCGTGTGGTCTCGAGTGCTTTGCGCTCTGGGGGGTTGCGGGGTGCCCAGACTGCTGGTGTTCTTACCTGCTTACTCCAGGGGCCAGTGCAGTGTCCCACTCCTACTAACTAACTAACTAACACAGAGACACACACAAATAAATTTAGGTTGTCCGTAGGTAGTTGCATTATTCTTTATGTCAATAATATTGTGCTGTGTTGTTTATTTATTTTTCTTTTCATTCTCCCTCAATTGTTTTCAGTTGTTTATTGCTGTTGCCCCCCCCCCTTAATATTAATTAATTAAATAATAATTGATAATAAATAACTTAATTAAATAATAAAGAAGACAAAGGTGTCTTTTAAAACACTTGTTAAAGTAAAATCTGTGTGGAACAACATGGTATCCAGCTCATCATACTGGGCCAGGCTGCTGGGCAGGACAGGGTTAAAAAAAAAAAAAGAAAAGAATCTGTGGCTGGACATGCATAACAGACCATTTTAGAAGCAAAATCCATAACACAAAGACAAACATCACCAAATTAACTACAAATAAATCAAAAGAGGACAGTTAGTCTATCAGTTGTTTTACCAGTGAACAGACTGGCGGCTGGAATGGCTGCCACAGGTGCATCTACTAAATCCTGACCTGGTCTGTACTGTTGGATTATCTTCACTGACGTTCACTTTGATCATTTCAGTGGAAGTGATGCAGCCTCCATTAAGACCCGCGCAACTCTGTCAGAAGACGGAACACATTACCTGATCACTGGCTCAAAGGTGAGAGGAACCAGGCTCGCAGATGTTTATTCTGGGCTTCAGAAGTGACATCGCAGTCCTCTCCATTATTCGCTCTCGTGTCTTTCAATTTTTGTTATCAGATTTGGATTTCAAACGGAGGCATGGCAGACATCATGACAGTGTTTGCCAGGACGGAGGTGGTTGTAGATGGTGTGAAGAAAGATAAGATTTCTGCATTCATCGTGGAGAGGGCTTTTGGGGGCATCACCAGCGGCAAGCCTGAGGACAAACTGGGCATCCGGGGCTCCAACAGTAAGCCTCTCATGAGTTTGGATAAAAAGATGAACACGTGGGAGTGGCCGCTGTAGACCGTGGGCCTTTTCATGTCAGTTTTATTTCAACTTTTTCAGCTTGTGAGGTGTCCTATGACAATGTTCCAGTGCCGGTGGAGAATGTAATAGGAGAAATAGGTGGTGGATTCAAGGTAAGCTTTAACCTGCCCTCAGCACAAACTGTTATAGACGACAGGATCTGCAAGGCTGCACTGATTTGTGCACTGTGTTGGACAGGTTGCCATGAACATCCTGAACTCTGGGAGGTTCAGTATGGGCAGCTCTTCAGCTGGAATGATAAAGAAGCTAATAGGTAAAAAGCCTTACTCGTGAAGAGTTTATATGTGTGGGTTTTGAAAAATGTCTTCATCGTGACACCACCTCTGTCTGACTTTCTGCAGAGATGACCTCTGAGTACGCTGCAACCAGGAAGCAGTTTAACAGAAGTCTGAGTGAATTCGGCATGATTCAGGTACAATGGACTATGATGGACATTATGAATGATCACCTCCTCTCAGTCTGGTCTGAAGGGAATGCGCTGTGCTTGCTCGGTTACTGCAGGAGAAGTTTGCAGTGATGGCCCTCAATGCCTTCGTGATGGAGAGCATGGCGTACCTGACAGCAGGGATGATGGACAGACCGGGGCTTCCAGACTGTTCTCTAGAGGCCGCAATGGTCAAGGTACACAGCCTTGTCAACTTTGTTTATATCAAACCAGTAGAAAACAAAATGTCTCTGTGTATTCTCTATCTTCTGTTCAGGTGTTCAGCTCAGAGGGAGCCTGGATTTGTGTCAGTGAAGCTCTTCAGGTCCTCGGGGGTCTGGGTTATACTAAGAACTACCCTTACGAGCGCTACGTTAGGGACTGTCGCATCCTGCCCATCTTTGAGGTACTGTAATAATTAGTTTTGGTTTTAGATTCAATCTGAAGAAGGTTCTGAAACAACATTTAGTTTGTCAGTTTTAGAATGAATCAGTTAAATATAAATTTTATTTACTTGGTGGCGACTCAAACATGTTTCAGGAGCATGAGACTTGGAGGTGTCTGGGTTCAGCCATAATGTACTGTTGGTTTGTTCAGTAAAAGGCCAGCAGGTGGCACATCGGACTTTGGAATCAAAGGTCTTACATGAATTAAATCTTAAATGGACTGAGCAGACCTGCAGCTTTTCAGCCATTAAACATGTTTTCTGTGTTTGTCATGAGGTGACAATCAATCAGAATTTCACTGTGATTTTCCATGTGTAAGACCCTCAATTTGGAGCTCTTGTAAATATCAAAATGTAGTGTGGTGCCCTGTGATACCTCAGTACACCCCCACCCCCACACAAACACACCACCTTTTATGTTGCGTTCTTCGCGGGCTGCGTCACCACATACACATAGTATAATAAAGTCATTTTTACATTCTGTGCTGTGTTTTCAGGGGACCAATGAAATCCTGAGGATGTACGTCGCTCTCACTGGAATGCAGTATGCCGGCAAAGTCCTTACAGGGAAAATAAAGTAAGAATATGAAGGTTGTGTGAAGCTGGCAAATGTTTTTTTTTATATAAAACTGAAATTGTGGCATATGACAAGATATAGATTGGGATTTTGGTTAGTTTAATATTTTGTTTAACGCTGCATTAATGGCTGCATTTATTTCCCCGTCTTGGCCACTACAGGGCAGACCTACAAAATGACTTAAAAATCACATATGTGTTTGACATATTGTGACTTTATAAACTTGAGAAAAATATGTGACACTAGCAGCTAAATGCTCTTCATGCTGGTCGCTAAGCTTGTCAGCTGTCTTGTGCTGATCAGGTAGTGTGTACGGGTGGCTGCAACACAGATAAAATGTCATTTTCAGAGCTGTGTGGCCATGATGGCTTCATTATTGATTTGCTAGTGTGTAAATGGTCTTCTCTAAAATACCATCACAACGTTGTGTAATAAGTAAACCAGTCTTTAGTCCCTCCATCTCTGCTCTGCCTGCAGGGAGATGAAGAAAGGAAATCTAGGTCTTGCTTTGGGTATGGTAGGCAAGAAACTGAGGAACTCATTCGGAGGTTCAGTGGACCTCGGCCTGACTGGGAAAGATGGAGTGGTGCATCCCAGCTTGGCGGTAAGAAACTTTTAGAAAACCCGTGTTCTGCAGGCGTTAGATTAAATCATTGCTTCCAAGAAGCTCAGGAGTTCTCTGTCTACAGGAAAGTGCAAAGAAGTTGGAGCAGAATGTCAACCTTTTTGGATCGACTGTGGAGAGCCTGCTGTACAGATATGGAAAGGTAATATTTGATTGAGTTTACATTCTGGAGAAACAGCTGTGGGATTTTCCTGCTCAAATGTTTACAGTTCTTTTGAACAAAATTTCCATTTGTTTCAAACGGCTGACAGTAGAGATCTGTTCATATCTTCCAATCAGTGTTTCTGAGGCGGTGTTGGTCTGTTCGCCAGCTGCTCCCAAGTGTTCTCTTTTTCTTCCTTCACTGTGCTTTTGTAATCATGGCTTTCCCAAAGAAGCTATAAGCCTCATGGAAACAGGTCAGCTTTCCAGATCCCTACTTCCTGTATCAATTGCCTCCATTTTAAATCCAGTACATGAGAATTGTCCTCTGAGGGCTTTCATCACACCGCACTCTTCAGCTGCTGAAGACAATGACCATTAAAGTTCAAACTGTTTAAATCAAAGTAGATAAGCCCTGTAAGTTTAATGGTCAACAATGAGGTGCAAGTTCTTGTTTTTATCTTTTTTTCTCTAGACCACTGTTCTTTTTAACCAATAAAAATCACATTGGGAAACCAAGATACTGGGGCACAATTATTAAAGGCAGAATGAGGGGGATTTTCCAAAAAAAACACTTGAAAACATATAGACTCTCAAACAAAATACTCTTTCAATCATCAGTATTTATTTTTTGTGGGTATAAAAATAGCGAGGCGAAACGGCAAGCAGACAAAGCTCATTTCAAGAGCGTGAATCTGTGGGTGGCTTTCACCCGCTGCGAGCACTGAAGGAGAGGATGGAGATGAAGAGCGACAGGGAGTCTACCTGTTTTCTGTTAGACAGGTACCTTAGTTAGCTTAAATAAAGTATCCCTCTGTCAACCAACACAAATAACTTCCCATTTTGATAAAATAACCCTTGAGCCCTGTAGTGAGTAAGCTGATCGTCGGAGACTCAGGGATGTAGTGATGAGCTGTATAGGGTAGCTGATGATGACGTTGAAGAACTGATACAGCAGCAGCGCTGTGATATACAGAACTGAGCCAGGAAGGAGGGGCCAACTTTGTTTACAAACTGCAAACGACAAATCTTTCTCATTCCGCCTTAAAGAAAGATGGACTAATTGGAGGCAGCAGGGCTTCTGGTCGTACAGCAGGTTGGCCATTAACTGTAGGGCTGGTTTCTTTAAGCAATACAATGAACGCCCAACTGCTGCTGGTGTTTATAGGGTGAGGGAAGTTGCTTTGGCCAAAGCAAACATGAGCAGTCGGACGATTAGGCATGTTGAAATGTCGTAATAATTCCCCCGTTGCACAGAAAAACTGTGTGCACAGTAAGTACAGTGGGGCTGTGGCTCAGGAGGCAGAGCGGGTTGTCCACTGATCACAGGGCTGACGTTCAGCACCTTACAGGGTAGCTCACTGCCATGGGTGCGCAAGTGTATGTAAGATAAAAGCACTATATAAATGCAGCCTTTCAACATGTAGGACAAAACGGAACCAGGAAGTGGTATTGTAACCTGTGATGGATGATTACAAGCGGGAGTTTGTACTCTTGATAATCTGCTTGTGTTCCCACATCACAGCAGTTAACTTGGGACAGCGTACGGTGTTATTACTGATAGAACGAAGACCAAGACTATGAAAAGAAGACCCATGTTATAATAAACTGGAATTCTCCTTTAATTACCAAACATGCTAACGTTAGTAGCTTGAAGTGGTTAAAGGCTTGACTGTGTGTGCTGTAATACATGTGGGGTGTCCTCTGGATGAGCTACGGGATTCAGGCCCTCATAAAGCTTTAAATCTGCCAAAAGAAGAGCATCCCATTCCCACTAACTTAGACTCCATGTCACATATTAGCCCAGATGTGATCCTGGTGTCTGTATGGTCTCCAAACACAGGAAGTAATTAATCACATCTTGAGAGCAAAATCCAAACTGTTCCCTAAGCAGCAGTGAGTGAGGGCTCCAACCAGAACGAAAAGAGCTACCAACCACCAGTACGCAACAAGAACAAATGTTCCTGTCGAAAGTCTTTCCTGATAAATTATCAACTGATACAGTTTCCCCCGCTGTATTATAGAGACTAACTTACGTAGAAGTAATTTTAATAATTTCTGAGGTCGGAAACGGTCGATGATTGATGTGTCCTTGTTTTATCCATTGATGTTGTCAGACCATAGTGGATGAACAGCTCGCCCTGAAGAGAGTAGCAGATGTGCTGATCAACATCTACGCTATGACAGCTGTCCTGTCCAGAGCCAGCCGCTCCATCAGCATTGGCCTCAGGAATCACGACCACGAGGTAACAAGAACCGTTACAGGCCCGGCTACAAAACGAGTCAGAGTAGAGGAAGTGCGTTCATGGTCACAACTTCAAAGGTTATAGCCCTCCTATACATGTGGAAATAATATCTGTCTTGAATCAAGATCTCTGTTTTTCCATTTACCTCACCAGATCGGTACACACACACACACACACACACCAGTTCTTCTATATTTACGCCATTTCAAACTGACAGTAAACAGTTGGCCCTCTCAGTCGCAGCCTGAGGTGAAGAGGGACCCAGGATGGCAGAGTGTTAACACCAACTGTAGACTGGTCCTGTGTGTAATCAGAAACAGTGACGCAGAGCAACCAAATCCTCAACACAGAGACAAAGAAGGCCGTGAATGCTTTGTATTATCCTCTTCTGTGTTTCAGATGGGAAGCCCTATTCCTCCCCGCTGTAGCTACAGGCCTAAATGTCAGCAGGCATGCAGTGGTCCACCTTTGTCCTGTATAGAAAACACATACACGGATCCTGTCTAAGGGAATCTTTACAAAGAGTAATTGATGTGTTTGTAAGAGTGAAATGTTTTGCCTGAGGATCACAGCAAGATTCCAGATTCTGAAATATTTTGAAGGCAAATATGGGTTCAGTCATCACGCTGTCTTTCAGTTTAGTTCCACTGTGAATCGCACAGTTGTTTGTATTTCTGTATCTGTTCACATTAATTACACTTAGAAACAGATGGGTTATTTATGAAATTGATGAGTGTTGTGTCTACATTTTGGATTTTTATGATTTCATTTCTGATCTCCCGTTGGATTCAGGTCTGCTGGTTTTGATGAATGAGTGGTGTTCTTTTTTTTTTATTTTTTTTTTTTTCTAGGTGCTGCTCGCAAACACATTCTGCAGCGACGCTTTCTTCAAAAACAATTACTTGATGACTCAGTTGCAAAAACGTAAGTACAACACAAAACAGTAATTGAGAACAGCCCCTTGCCTTTTTTTATTGCATCTCAAGTACAAAAGACTTGCATGTGTTGTGGAATTTCCCCACCAAACCCTACATACCAACACTCAACCCCCCCCCGCTTTTCATTTTCACACTGTGCGTGTTTTTTTAATGGCCTGTATGTAATCCAGAGTTATACGGTGACATGATCCAGATAGATGAGAATGTTGTGATTTGTATTTAACCAATGAAAGAGGCTTGTTTTGTAATTCCCATCTCAATCCGTTCCAGACTCTCCTGAGAACAACGATGCCAACATCAAGAAGATCGCCAGGGAGGTCTTGGAGAACAGAGCCTACGTCTGCTCTCACCCTCTTGAAAGAACATACTGAGCTCTCCCATGCGATAATACACTCTCCTCTATTCTGACAAAATGGACGAGTCCAATTCGCAGTCCCAATAATTTGTCTTTTGTCTTCAATTGGTATTTCCTTTTGTTTGACATTATATGTACACTTAATTAATAAATTAAGAGATTTATGTTTATAGTATCTGTATTTTATTAACCATGGCTTCAAAGATGACACCTGAACTCTTTGGATGATGGCATTATATGAAGTTTTAACCAAAGTGCTCTTTTAGTGTAGTGTTATAATTAATGATTACACAGTTTTAATGCTCATGAGTCTATTTGGTATACAAGGTACAGTTTTTGTGGGTTCTGGCTTCTACAATATTCCTGAAAGGCTGGACATCGGATGTTCGTGTCATGTTTGGCGCTTAAGTTTGAAAAGTGAAGATACTCTTCTCCTGGTCTGTCAGAGGCAGGGCGGTCCGCTTGTACAGGAATGAGTGCTGCTTATTGAATCCACTGTAAGGAGCAACAGAACAAAGCACATGAACACAAAAACTTTGTATTCTTTTCTCTAGTATAGTGTGGAGTATCTTTTTCTGAATAAAAAGTCAAACTGAAACTGACATGTAGTGGTACTTGTTATCCGGAGAGGTGTGTCTGCCGGTGGTGCTGTTTTTCCTGCAGAGACTGACGTCCACACAGGGGCCTGGAGCCAGAGCCACTCTTTTCATTTCCTCAGCTTTGTCGTTGGCCAAGTTCATCACAGACAGTTGAGGCAAAGGCTGCAGCACAAAAAAAGTGCTGTTGGCTCACAAACGAAGATTATTACAGTCAACTGCAACCAGAAACATGTTAAACACTGAGCTGAAGCAAGTGTTGGGAAAAACACAATAAAGACAAATGACGATGTGAAAACTGTGAAAGGAGTCACTCGTAGTGTACGTAGAGAAAATGTTTCAGCTCATTTTTTATCTGTCTGACTCAACTTTATACTGTTTTGGTTAACTCAGTGCTCTCTTGGTGTCTTTTTCAGCTGCATCAGGCAGACGTTTTCAGAGGAAAAGCCAGAGCACCCATCTGAAATTCACTGCAGGATAACAGCTCTGTTTCCTCGTGTGGACTCATTAGCTCCTTTTACGCTGCAGCTCCCTGATCCTAAAACTACTTGATCAGCATTGGCTGAGTTCTTGTTTCAAGGCTTAAAGAAACTCATAACAGTGAGGTCTGGAGTTTTTCCTATTCACACCAAGAATTAAAAGGCATTTTATCGTCCACAGTGCTCATCCAAACTAGTGAAAATGTCTTCTCCTTAGAATCTCGCTGCAAACGGATTGATCTCAAGATGCAAGAAATACATATCCACATGTGAGGCATTCCATAACACTATCAGAGTACAGATGACAAACCAGAATTCCATGTGGCCTTAGGATCAACAAAGCTTCTTTGCCTTGAAGTCATGAAAAAGCAAAAGCAGATACTGTGCTTGTTGTGACAGATAAGTGCATCGCGTGGTGTGACCTTTGAATAGCATTTCAAAATAATAGCACAGAGTCAGAAAATGTGCTGCCGTCTAAATATTCCTGGGACTTACAGTTTGTGAGTTCATTATGCCGAGTCATCTCAGTAACTGAAAATACATTACCTTCAACATCATGCCTGCTTTCCTCAGGGAATATTTCTTAGGCTCATCTTTCAGTATTTCCTGAATTCTCAATGAGTTTCCTCCCATGTGACACTTGAACTCTGAGAAGAGGCCGTTGCGTGATGGGTTGGTGCTGCCGCCAGGAAGCAACTTCTTCAGCCAGCGACTGTACTGAGCTCTGGCAGCCTCGAGCTGCTCCTGCTGCAGAGGATCTCCTGAGGATCAACACCCACTAAACTCAACAGCTTTAAGCTTTACTGTTCATGTGGCTTAACTAAACAGGTGAGACACGGGATGGTTGGACAGACATAAACAGATATTTACCAATGCTAACTAACTGCTGATATCACTGAGGCTCCACTGACCAAATCTATTCTCCAGTGTGGTGTGGGAGTGTTCTACTCAGTAGCAAAAACTCGGTTACCGGCTCAAGTAGCCGCCATCTGGAGCTTCAATCAAAACATATCAATATTGGCCTTCAATACTGCGAGAAAGCTTACAGCCCAGACAGTTATAGGAAAAAATGCACTCTTGGAGAGAAATTCAGTGCATTGCTAGATGCTACTTACAGCCTAGTCTCTTTCTTCCCATGTTTGGTAAAATTTCATCGTTAAAACAAAGCAAAGTTGTACCAGATGCCAGATGGGCAATGACAAGTTTAAGGTTAGGCCTAAATGGTAAATCTTAGCCTAGAAGATTGTTGTTTAATACGTTGTCGTAGCTGATATTTCCATTAGTCAGTCAACTAATTTGATAAGCATCATTATGTGAATGCAGAATATGTAGAGTTGCCGTCTAGTCCTCATGTCCTTGTCACTCCCAATAGTGATACACCAAGCTCTGTACAGCAGGGACAGAGGGGAGTGAACTTCAAACCATCTACCTATGAGACTCCAGTTCTGAAAACAGTCCAATTTAAAAAGTCTTTAACTGAGCAAAACACATCAATTCAGGTAAATCCCATATAAATCAATACTTTTAAACGTTTAAAAGAAATTAAATGATTTAGGATTTTGTTAGCTGGAATGATCACAGCCCTCTCCTACTCCTACTATAGAAAGATAGTTCCATGACATGAGGTCTGAAATGAAAATCAAGTACTGAAAATACAATAAAGATGTTATGCTCTGTTATGAATGTTTAAAACCCTTTTTCGAATGCTGTGTTGTGTTTTTTGTTAACTGACTCCATTTACTGCGGTCTATTTCTGTCACATGAATAGAAAGTAAGTAAATAGGATACTTTTGGTTGTGTGGCCTCACTGACGCAACATTGGTTTAAATGGTGTGTGGGGGTGGGGATGGGGGGGGCTTATCTTCTCCCTATTGTCTTCTGTTTTACGGTTTCGGCTGCAGAACCTTGACTAAAGGCAGAACTGGTGGCCAGTCCGACTACAGGTTCTTGTCTTATTCATTCGCTAATTTATCAAACTTTCTTACCTCAGCTCAGTCAACCTTCTGTTCTCAGAAGTTCACTTAGTCACGCCTTTGGATGAGCTCAACTAAGTTTCCTGGTTGGTCGATGCTAGATTGGTGTCAAATTATCGTCATATATATCCTGCAGGGGACCCAAAAAAATGGGGTTTTGAAAAGTGTGTGTGAGTGTGTGCGTCCCTCGAGGATGTTAAACCCAAGTGTGTCCTGCAGTAAATGACACCTTGTGGCTGTGTGACAGTATGATATATTGAAGCAGATGGATTTCTCCTGCTGAACTTCAGTATAAGACGGTGACTATGTAAAGAAACCCTCTCTTGGATTCTGACACCAATTGCTGACATACACAGCTGATGTTTTAGCTACAATGGATATATCACAGTGAGACATCTGGTTGTTAACATTTGGCCAGTTACTCACAGGAAAAGAAAAATGTACTTTTAGTGCTTAAAAGTGTTTTATGGTACGTTGATGCTGCACAGCCTACCAGGCAGGTGAATGGTGACAGGAGGTGGGCTGAAGAAAGGGGGAGGCTTGCTGTAGAGCTGAAAGTCCTCAGAGCGCTGGCTCCAGGCCCATATGTCCCGTGAAAGTGTGGGCTTCAATACGTTGGCATGTAGGGTGTTCTCTTTCCATGGCTGAAAGCACAGTGAACAGTAGGATTATCAACGTAACCCTCTGATGTAAACACACTCTGTCACTGTATACCTCAACAAGGTGGATTTTGTTAGCCGTGTCAGATTGTGTGCTGCGTCATAGAGAAAGAAGACAGTAAGTAAACACTGATAAAAGTGTATGCCTACGCTAGGATTGATCGGAATGACAATAAAGTAAACATTCCTGTTCCTGTGAAACCCCACATTGCTGAGAGTGACATCACCTTCCTCAGCTCTTCCACGCGAGCCTCATCTGGGTGTCTGGGGTGCACTTTGGATTTGTCACCTCTCATACTTGTGAACCATACTGTGGAGGCTGCCGTGAAGCTGGGGTCATTTTTAGAAGTCACGTCTCCTGGCATCACTGTAGCACTGTGATACCGCTGACCGTAGGTAAACCTCCGCCCTGGCACCTGAAGTTATCACCAAAGAAGCACGATAACGTCACCGTCGTCTTCACAAGACACTTCCTTCTGTGTCCCAGGGGCCTCATTAGAGAATAACTGCGTGTCCTATCTTACAGAAGCAAATCTTATCTTAAGAAATCCTAACTAGAACTTCTTCAGTCGGCTCTCGTCCTGTCAGGCCTGTTTCTGTGTTTAGAGCCTCCACGAGACTGCCTGTATCCATGACAGGAGGAGAGAAAACTCGCTTTTTGTTAAGGACAGGGTCTGTTAAGAAGCTTCTGTAATAGATATATCTCTATCCTATAATAAGATAGGATTTTGTCCTAAATGCAGTTAGGAATCATGTTTGTATAATACCAAAAATCCTTAATGTCATCCTAAACTGAGATAAGATAGGATTTCTGTAATAAGGCCCCAGGTTCCAAAAATATAGAATAACAGCAGCCTTATCATTTCACTACATACCTATGTATGCTATGTAGACTTTACATTTTGAATACAGGTTTAGATTACTGGATGTACTCATACTTCTGTTTTCTCCCTCACACAAACATCTACTCTGTGATCTATCACAATGAACAACTCCTCATCAATGTTTACAAAGTACATGTTTTTTCATCATTGGGCTGGCCCTGACAGTGCTGGAGCCCTAGGTGAGATTGTAATTGTTTAAAAAGGAATTGTTTAAAAAATTTTAGCATTAACAGCCAACTCAATGATCATGGTCCAAAGTGAAGAAGTGTGACCAGCCTCCACATTATAGCCTAAACTGGGAGACCAAACCTAACCTGGGATCTAGGAATGTGTTCCCCTATAAACTGTGTGTCAACCCAGATACTATATTCTGTCACTGTAGTAAATTTATGGGGTAATTTTCCTGAAATGCAAGAGCATTAAAAAGGATTGGATCAATAAGTTATAGTAACTTCTTTCTATAATTTATAATTCAACTCCTTTTTAACTCCACTTAAAATAATAAGTTATGAAATTTCAACTTAATTTAATGAGTTATCACTATTTCAACTCAGGTTTGTTCAAGTTCAGTGAAATGTAAA